ATAAAAAATATTCAGCTCAATTTTCTGAACCTAAAAGAAATAAGATATCAAAAATCAAATATAACCATATTTCACAATCATATTTTATCATTCAAAACGTGTATAAGTCACATGTTTTTAATAATTCATAATTTTTTAATGGTTAAAATTGTTTTTCGATAATAATAAAAAATTTTATTAGAGAAAAATATAAAGTAGTCTTATCAAACTAACATTATTTTTTAGAGATTGACATTTTTTGTTAGTACGCAGAAATCGATTGTCATAGTAGGATTTCGAGTAAAACATGAAAAATGACGTTCCGCGGCATTTTCTAAGTGATCTGCAAAGACAATATCAAAATCGTCTTCATCAAAATCAGGCATCATTTCACGAGTTTTGATCCGTTTTACCTGGAATTTTGTATACTAACTCTTCGAGCTCATCTGATTCTGATTGCTTAAGGACACTTTCCATGTTTTGTTTGACCAAAGTACCGAAATTAATGAATTTGTTCTTTTTTACTAATAAAAAAGAAAAGTTATATTCATTTTCAAACGAAAAAAATTAATAACTCGATAAATACTCATCTGTTTGACTTCAAAATTCACAGGAAAAATTTTACGACCTTCTTCTATCAACCTGTGAAATTTGAACACAAGTTAATATGTGGATTCTCAAAATCTGAAAGTAAACCTAGAACTTTCATCAAGAAAGTTAGAGAGAAAAAAACGTACGAACGTAAAATCACCATATCTCCATCAATTTTGATCCAATCCATCTGAAAATTGAGATGTAAATAGTTGAAAACCGTAGCTTTGACTTTACTTAATAGAATTTTTGTTGTTTCATTCAACCAAATAGGTAAAATTTTCATCCAAACTTTCTCTACGTCTAAAGAAAAAATTCGTATCCACGTTTTCGTAAGAAAAATCGATATTACTTCACGAGTTCAATTCCATTTGACTTGAAAACAGAGATCCTAATGTAAAATGATCTCATCTACAAATTTTGTTAGTAGCATTTTGTAGGTTAACTAGTAAGAATTACCTTCCAAAATCGATTTTTTGTTGAGTATTTTTAAAAAAATTATAACTTATAACAAAAATTATCAAAACTATAAACATTTGGCGTTAAGAGAATTTTAATTAGAGGGTCATTTTTCACAGGGCCAAATGGCCCTGAGGCTAAACGTTTATCCGAGAATTTTAATTAGAGGGTCATTTTTCACAGGGCCAAAATTTCTTAATTCTGGCCAAAAATGAATTTTGACCATCTCTTGTACTACCGAAATAATGAAGAGGACTTTCCTTTTTAGGAAATCTTATTGCCGATCATTCATGTGATTATTTTTATATTAGGGAGTTATTATCTGTAACACTATAACAGATAATAAGGGACCTTCGTCATGCTACTTATTATAAAATTAATTATAATCTTTATATAAAAAAATATTTAATAAAAATAAATTTTTATTATTAAATTATAAATAATAATATAAGCTAGCAGTTAGAACAAAAATAAGTGTATTAATATAATAAAATTAAAAAAAATAAAAATAATTAATAATTAGATTGTTTTAAAGTATTTAAAAATGAATTCTATAAATTATCATTATTCTTTCGTCTAAAAATAAATTCTAATAAATGTTTTTTGATTAAATCTTTATGTCTATTTCTTTTTGATATATTTAATTTAATTCCATTCCATAACTAGAAAAAAAAATAATTAGTCAAATACAAAAAAATAATAAATAAAATAAAAAAAAAAATACTAACTCCTTCAATTGAATTTGAATGTATTCTGCCTTGAAGTCTTTTTCTAGAATGATTTACTCTTTTATGAATATAGCCTAAAGATTCAAGATGATAATACCCCTTCCAGCTAAAACAAAAAAAATATTTTAATATTTAAATAAATTTTTAATAATAAATAAAAAAATGTACCTATCAGTATGAATTATTGAATTTCTTTTAACATGTTTTTTGATTATTCTTTTTAATGTTTCTTGATTTCTGTCATCTGTAATTTCTAAAAAGCATTTTCTTTTT